TTATCTATCGTAATGGTGGCGTTTAAAAAAAATGATTGCAGTTTAAACTATTCACCGGAAAATTGTAGTCACAATGTTTACTTTAAGTGGTTAGGTTAGTCACACATTGGTGGCAACAGCCACGGCCATGAAATGGTCAAAGATCAGACGTTGGCTAGAAAGGGCGTAGTACACGTGGTAAAGTAATATAACTTTTGATCGTCTGTATCACAAACCAATATTTTATAAAGCGACATCTCTTATAGGTCACTGGTAGTTGTAAGCTGGCTGAGTGAAGAAAAACTTTCATAGATTTCTCACAGGTGGTGCTACGGGTTTGAACCGTACAAAGATCGGCAACAGACAGAAAAAAACCAAAAGGTTTGCTAATTTAATCTGTATCTCAGTTGATGTAAGCGGTAGCTCCGGTTTGGCTACCAGTCGCTGGTTGGTGTCCCGCGGATCGAAGGACTATATTATATTTGTTGGATTTTTGTATTAATAATATTACAACGAAAATTATTTTGTATTGTTTATCTGTGGATTTCATAATTATAATATTTCTATAAAAAAACCGATCCGAAAAGTTGGTGGAATTAGCAACTATTTGCTAAGTTTATATTGATGTCGATTACCGGAAAGTACGCAAAACCGGATTCATCCCCTAGTTTGTCATCTTAAGAGCTGGAATATTTTCTTCAAAACCCTCTTTCCAACAAAAAAAGAATCATCATTGGTTCACACATGCCGGAGGAATCGCGTAATATACACACAAAATAAACAGTCGAATTGAAAACCTCGTCCTTTTTTAAAGTCGGTTAATAACAAAAATAATTTTGTAGCAGTAGAGCTCCTTGTGAAAGAGTTCGTCCAGGGAAATCCTAATTCTGCCGCCAAGGAAATTACAAGCATTACCTTTCAATTTATGTCTCAGAGTGACGGGCGCAGTGGTGGCAGTGCTCCTCAGGTCTTAGTAATTCAAAGCACTGGGTGGCACTGCAACTGTGAAAAAAGGAAAATTATGTGCATTAGGATCATAGCAAGTAAAAGATTGTGGTCTCTTTCTATGCTTTTACCGTAATAGATAACTTAATGGCACTGGACTGCAATCTAAAATCAAAAGTGGCAACGGTCAAGTATGAGTATAGCTTTAAAAAGAATAAGTGAGTTTGAACATTCATTCTTAGTTCAAAATAATAGGTAATAAATATATTGTTTTGGTGTACGTCTAACTCCAGCCTAACTTTAAAAAAGAATATTCATTTTTGTCAGTCTATATTGTTGTAGTTGACATACTATGTTAGACCATTTTAGCAAAACTGCCTGTTATTAAGCGTCGTTAGCCCATTGAGAATGGTGTTTCTTTTTTGCAAGGTCGATGATGGTTCGAATCTCTGTGGCGGTATGTACCTATGATTTTAATTTCTTAATTACATACAATTGAGAATATGTAGCAGCAATACCTTTAACATTATCATCAATGACAGCCTATCGCAGTTCACTGCTTTGCATAGGCCTTTCCCAATGCGCGCCATTTCGCCCGGTCCTCAGCTCGTCTGAGAAATAAGTTGAAAAGTCCCAAGTGCCTGCAATTTCAGCTGGTGGCCTTACGCTTCAAAACCGGAACACAGTAATGCTGACATAACCGCTTCCAGGCAGAAACACATAAATATCTAATTCACACTTTAATACACATATCAAAGTCCGAGCTCTCGTAGATTTTCCAAGCCACGCTCACTAGCATGCGCACGCACGGTTCTTCATTCAAACTCACACATGTCACACATACAAACGTACACTTTTTCACGTTATAACACACGTACTCACACTCAATCACACACACACACTTTTATTTTTCTTTTTCCCTATTTTATATATAATTGTTTATATAGACATATAAAAATTGATCAGATCTTTTGGAGGTGGAGGCAACCTTTTGGAGGTGACCTAAAAAACAGGTTATCTTACTTTAGTCTCTGGCCTCTACAAATTTTCCTGTATAATAAAATAATAATAATAATAACGAAAACACTCATAGTCCTGCACTAGGGAAAGCCTATATCGCGGGTGCCATGGACACATAGACAACCACAAATCACGCCCAAAATCACGAGAGAAATAAATGTAGGTCATGCAAATATTTCTCCCGGCCCGGAAATTGAACCTGGGGTCTCTGTGTGGCAGACCACCATGGTAACCGTTCGACCACAGATGCAGTCTAGGTTAGTATAAACTACTATTATGTCACTTGAAATTGTTGTAAATTTATGGAGGAAATAAAGAAGTTACTTAGTAATTAAGTTTTATTGAATGTCAGGATGTTAAGTATTCGATCTTTGTTTAGTAATTATAACAAACTAATGGAGCAATCTCACAAAAAAATAATTGAATACCATGGTGGTGATGAAACATTCTGACATTCAATAAAACTTAATTACAATTATTAAAGTGACATCTCTAGTCAGCGGCTGGTAGCTGTAAAGGTACCTCCTTGAGTGAAGAAAAAACTTTCATAGATTTCTCAAGATGGCGCTACGACAAGAAAGTCGTCAAAAACCAAGACAATAATCTGCAACAAAATACATGGAAAAATTCATGATGTCCGTTGGTTCCTCCCGTGGCTTAGTAGGCATAGCATCTGCCACGGTTTGCTAGGAGACGTTGGTTCGAATCCAACCGGATCAAAGCGAATTTTTTCTTAGTGTTCGATTTTTTTAAATAAATTAACAAGTTTACTTACAATACCAAGTTATCACAAGCTGGCCTTTTCGCCAGTAAGTAATTAGGCAGCCGCGAGGAGGACGATGGGGCAGTGTGACCCGCTTCGTCGTGAGAAGGGGGAGGACGTAGTTCCTCACAAGTGCTGGGGGTTCCGTTGCGCAAAGTCGATCCCGGATCCCTTCAACTAGAGCATCCGAAGGCTACCGCGGGGTTTTAGCCGGTAGAAGTCCGGTCTTTCCACCGCGGAGGCAGCGGCATGCATACCCTAGGAGGATTTCCCCACAAAAAAAAAATGCCGTCTTGTCTTACGCGACAATCCGGGAATTAGAACACATTTGTTATCATACGTCAAAAATTTTTTTTATCACATGATTCATAAAAATAATACGTACTAAGTGCATTAAATTATGCTTATGTAAAATGTTATATAACTCTGCAAAAAAAATTTCACACTTTTTCTACTTTACCACTAATTCTGCTCCGTCTGCTTCGTTTGCTAAAACTTCAATATATCGTACATATGTATGTATTATACTTTGGATCTATTCCAGGACTAACCTGGACCTGTCTAGATTATATTTAGTACTAATAGTAAACTGGTTCTCGAGGATACCGAACCTGTTTCTGAATCAATATCATAGGTACTTCTACGAACAGAACTTGGTGATAGAACTTAGAGTTTGTATGGAGATAATGATGTAATCGTAATCGCTCGTTTTTGCAATACAAATATGGTTTGTATATCTGCCGCTTAACCCCACATGAGAATCACGTACATTGGGTATGAAAGCAAGTAAACTAGTCTAGCAGTAGCAACATCGGTAACATCAAGTATTCTACGGACTGCGTATGCAATGGAAACCATTGAAGTTTACTATCTAAGGTCACTCCTAAAAAGATAGCTGTAATTAACAAGATCTAACTTTTCACCATTTATTTCTATGGTTGGACTAGTCGATTTTACATTAGGTAATTCAAATTTAACACATTTTGTGTTCTTGGCATTTCAAATCCATTTTTCTTATAACACATTTCAATCTTACCGTACTTTTCACAGAGGGTGTAGAATTTTGTTTTGACTTTTGCATGTTGTTTTTAATCATTCCAGCATGTCACAGGGAGGCATTAACATCTCTATGTTCGTAAGTTAGGTAATAAAGGGTCTTTCAACACGAACTTTGTTTAGTAAATCAAAATAAAACAATGAATTTAGATGACAAATAATTCAAATTTTTATTGTATTAAAAAAGGAACGTAAAATTCATTGTTTCGGTGGATGTGTGACTTATGCCGTTGGCATTGGGCCGGCTTTTCAAAAATTCGGCTAGAAATGCGTTACGGTCAATGGGTTACACTATCGAGAGACGTTAACAATTTAATTTTGGCCCATTATTGATGACATGGATATCACTAACGTGTGGTTTCAACAAGACGGTGCCACAAGTTACACAGCCACCGAAACAATGAATTTATTGCAAACCACATTTCATGTGATTTACACTGCTGGATTATTTTTTATGAGGTTATGTTAAACATAGAGTCTATACGGAGCCAGTCAATTAAGCCTTAACTCAAAATTCGTGAAGTGATTAACGAAGTAGACTCACCATTTTATCAAAAAGTGATTAAAAAGTTTAATGAAAGAATCGACATCTGTAACTGTGGTCGTGGTGGACATTTATCAGATATCATATTTCATTCATAATTTCCAAACCTTACTTTTTTAATACAATAAAATTTTGAATCATTGTCATCTAAATTTATTGTTTTATTTTGATTTACAAAACAAAGTTCTTGTTGAAAAACCCTATATACTTACCCATTGTGACGAAAGGGTACCGTTGAGACAATAGAAAATCATGCATTGTATATTTTAATAATACCACATATGTTTTTTAAGAGAGATAAAAAATATTATTACTAATGAAAAGAATACTTCGTCATATGGTATTCATCGTCATATATTTTATGCTGGAGAGTTTCTGTTATTCTTGGTAGGATGGTCCCTTTACTTATATGACCATTTGATTCGGATGAGAAGATGTGTTGTGGATAGGCCGGAGAAGACTTTTTTGAAGGAGACAAAGGAACAGGCTTCTTGATGGGAGCTTCTTTGAGAGCCCTGTTGACACCCATTTGCCGGAACCACATTAGACGGGCAAATGAAAAACTTCAGTAACGGGAGACCAATCCTCATCTTGCAGGTTCGATGAAGGCAAGAACGTGATGCACCCGTGGTTTTACATGCGTTGCGTGGTGGAAACGTGACGGTGGCACCAGTTGGGAAAGTTCCTCTAAGCACTCTTCATTATAAAGACGGTAGAATACACAGGGAGCCAAAGTCTTTCTGTAGCAAAGGACTCCCACCGTCTGTGAGTTTGGAATAACCGTTTCGCTCTTTTGGATCATGATATCGCTCTTTTTGTAACTTACTCTAGGCCATTGTAACATTGATGTATTTTTGAAGCCTAGTTTGATTCATTTACTGTCTCCGTGGCTGAATGGTGACCATTCTAGTCTGCCACGCAAAGGTCCCGGGTTCGATCTCCGGCTGGGAGAAATATTTGTATGGCCTTACATTTACTTGTCTTGTGAATTTGGCTGTGATTTGTGGTTGTCTATGTGTGTCCATGGCACCCGCGACACAGGGTTTCGCTTTGCCTTCGTAGCCATTACAAATTATTTGATCTCAACGACCTTTGAGTACCAGAATAGCTTAACTCAGGGGACATGATCAATGTGGCAGAAACAAAAGAGTTCACCGAGGTCGAAAAAGATCAATCTTACGTAATAAATTTATTCGTAATATGTAAAGTATAAAATATAAAGTGCAATAAAAACGAAAACGCCTGATTGCGAATTCTTGTAAAGGTATTTGTAAGAAAAAACAAACTTTAAATTGCGATTACATTGTGTACAACACGATGATGACTTTTGAAAACGTATGCGGAACAACATAAGGTGCAAATTAGAGTAGTTTTCATAATTTGTGCTGGCACGAAGAGTTGGAATCCCCGCGGTGTCCAAAAAAGTGGTTTCTCATTTTTTTACTTTTTTTTGTGTTTTGTTGCGGTTTAAAGGATCGCATTTATCTTTTTTAGACCGAAATAATTTTATTACTGGATAGTTTTTATTGCTTCCTTTAAGGGATAAGGAGCGTGCTATGGTCCCATGCCTACGTGGTGTTACGCCTTTCTGAGATATATTATGACGTGAGTCACGTAACATCATTAATAACTTATGTTTTTTTTAGATTTTGTACAAGTTAGCTGTAACTAAAAGTACCGGCACACTATGATGGCGTTTTGACGTTTGTACGCTCATGAAGTTTCAAATTAATTCATAACTACGTTGAAGGAGGTAATTGATGTACATTGTTGTCAATAGTTGACGTTACTGCACGTGCAATTTACGGAAGTCATAATAATCTTACGACACGTTTTTCGAAATTGAAAATTAAAAAAAATTAAATCTAATACGGTCGTCACTTATGGGATCGCTGGCCAGCACAACTACTACCTCCGGCAAACTCGCGTCAGAGCTCAATGTAAAACAAAGCAGTTTCGAATTGACGATATATTATTAAACATTTTATTTACGTTTTATTATATTTTTATATTATATTTTTTCTATAATGAATTTAAGATTTGACCTCACTATTGTAATCTGTCAAAACGGTCATCATAGCGTGCCGGTACTGTAAATAGAATTATTCAAATGTCACTGACGATCTCGGTAGCTCAAAGGCTTGCCACGTGGGCTCTGGATGAGGTTTGATTTCCGATGAGACCAATTGTATTATTGTCTTTGTGTTCTGGGTACTGCCTTGGAGCGAATTCCGTTGCTCTGATACTCATACGTGGGGCGCACTATAAGTTTCTGGAAGGAATGAGAAAAAAATACTATGAATGGTCAGAAATGAATTTATTGTTTTTCAAATTATTCTCTGTTAGCGCTAATGCACTTTTTGATTTTGAAAACATTTATGCCACTCCTCCGTGACAATATCTGAAACATATTTTTCATACTCTTCGACAGCCTCTTTAGGTGATGAAAATCGTTGACCGCGTAACTGGTTCTTAATTTTTGGAAATAAATAAATGTCACAAGCTGCCAGGTCGGGACTGTACGCGGGACGGCTCATAAGGTCAACGTTGTTCACCTTCAAAAACCACCTCTCGCTGTCGACTGTGGCGCGAACCACAGCCCGCAAAGAAAGAACTGCGCCAAGTGATCGGCGCTCCACCTCACAGGCTGGGCAGACCTCCAGCGTGTGCAGAGCCGACTCCTCGCGTGGCAGTACTACCCTGGGTGAACTCTTCCACAAGGAGCTCTACTGATACTAAATTATGTTTTGTTCAAGAATAATAATAATAATAACGCTCACACTCAACATAGCCCCGCACTAGGGAAACCCTGTGTCGCGGGTGCCATGGACACACACACATAGACAACCACAAATTACACCCAAACTCACGAGAGAAATAAATGTAGGCCATACAAACATTTCTCCCGGCCCGGGAATCGAACCTGGGACCTCTGTGTGGCAGTCCGGCATGGTAACCGTTCGGCCACGGAGGCAGTTTCGGCCACGGAGGCAGTTATATATTTTTGGACATTGTTTAAAATTAAATTTGACATAAATTATGTCCAGTAATTCTGTGTATTATTATTATTATTATGGATTATGTTGTCTGATAGGAATAAATGAATATGATCTATACGTCAGTATTCAGTATTTTACATATTAAAATTTACAATACATGTAACCTGTAAGGGTGTAGTTAAAAATGTAACATACATAGGAAATAATGAAAGTAACAAACAAAAAAATAATTACACAACTAAATTATTAAATATTTATAACTTAATTATTTTTTTTTATAAATCAGTTTCAATAAAAGAATGAACTTATGTGCTAATTATTATTAGTAACGAGATTATATCTCTGTATCGCTTAAAAATTCTTCTATTCAGTAATAGCACTTTTGTATGACTGCCGATGCACGGGTCTCCTATAAGAAGTTAGTTTAGAATTAAGTACCCAGCGCAATTCACGACCATTATTAACGGCATCGCAAAATGATGTTATATATTAACGCACGTTTCGTAATGAATAAATGATAACTATATTCAAATATCAAAGCCGTCTTAGCGCGAAAATGGCTCGCCGACAGCCTTGTTGTCGTTCAGTCAATGTGACCGTCAATGTGCGGGGCGTGGTGCGGTTAGGTTAGCTAGGGAGGGGCGGAGAATGTCCGTTCTCGTTACATTTTGTTCTCTGTCTTTACTGTAAACGAGGTACATTATGAGTGATTGTCGTTTCAAAGTCGTTTCGTGATAATGGAAGCGTCCCGATTTTGAAATCGAATAATAAAGTCACAACTAAACAACATCTCTGGAGTTCTAGCTCCATAAATGAACTAGGAAGAAGACATACTTGTTACCAGTGATTATTGTGCCTGTTGTTAATAAATAGAAAAAAATTCTAATGTGATCGTAGGAAATGTTTCCGCATGTCGTGATGTGCGACATTTGCCGGTCTCTTTGTGTAAATAATGAACCCACATGCATAACTAAATTATTCATAATGGAATGTAAATTCTGTTCAAACTTGTCCCACATTCATAATACCGTTCCTCCTTCAGGGTTTATCTCTTTATTCATATAACAAT